TTATGCTATTTAATTTAATATAATATTATTGTGGTGTGTGTGTATGATGTTTATGAATCGTTGCTTTCTATCTCACAGTCCCATCCCCCAATGTGTATATATATATATATATATATATTTATCCAACATAAATGAACATATCACTAAAATGTATTAAGATCTTAGAATTTGAGAGGCAGAGCATTAAGACAAATTTGATGAATGGATTTTGTCATCAAATTGGAATTCTGATTTCCTGCTGCTTTCTGTCTCTATAAATGTGAACAATTGAATGGATGTCTGAGTGTTGGTTTTTTCCACTGTTCAGTCAGAATTAAGAAAAATGTCTTTAACTCATAGCCTTATAGTGAGATTAGAAAGAGTTAGTATGTACAGTGTGGCCAGCCCAGTGTTTGAGCACAGGCCTCTCTCAGGAGAGTTACCTTATTGTGGTAACTTGAAAGGCTTTCGGCTTCAACTGGTCACATCTCAACATCACAAACAAATTCGCTGAAAACAGAAAATCCAAGTGGCATATCTGAGGTTCCTTAAGGGTCCCCACAGAGCTGGCACACTCAGGGTTAGCCCTTCTCCTTTTAACTGCACAGGCAGCAGGCTATTTTATTATGGCAGTGGGAAAACAATTCCCCACTCAAAATACAGTGAAACATAAGCCTCATAAAACTAAACACTTCCATTTCTACTCATTTGCTCATGAAGTCTAAGGCTGAGCAGAGCCTCATCATTCTAAGGTGACTTGTTTGTTTGCTCCTCAGAAGACAACCTCCGGTCCAGCCCTTCCCAGGCCTCAGTAAAAGAATACTACAAGATCCTGGCATGGTGGCACTTCCCTTTAATCCTAGCACTTGGAAGAAAGAGGTAGGTGTATCCTGTGAGTTCAACACCAGCCCAGGTTACAAAGTGACACCTTGTCTCAAAAAACAAATCAACCCCCACCCAAAGGACAAGATTGTAAAACTTGCTCATGGGATTAAGTACCTATTCTTCTAATACAAATATTTCACATGCTGATATTAATAGAATAACAGAATTAGGACGTAACCATCTATTTAATAGGTACTCAATTGCACGAAGCTAATGCTGTTTAGTAGGTATTACTTTAATCTTCACACCATGGATACTAGGGACCACTGTTCTCATTATAAATAACAATAAACAGGATACATATATAAATTGTTATAGTTAATTAGTGGATACATTAAAATTAAGGAAGATTGCTAACAAGATCTTTCCAATTCTAAAAGACCTGTCCCAAGGAAATGAAGTGAAATTGGAGTCTGGTTTCTGTGGGGTTGGAGAGGAAAATATTTTGGTGCCCTCTAGAGGTGATCAGGGATGTACACCTGTCAAACCCTGGGAACCAGATAAATCGCAGGCCATTTAGCAGGAGTTATCTATCACTCTTGCCTCTTTTCCTCTCCATGCCTAGTTGATTCAAACTCCACAGAGCATAGCTCTGGAGCAGAGATTCTTGAACTTTAGCAAGCACCAAATTCAGTTTTAGGGCTTGTTATCATGCAGACTTCTGATTGCCAGTCTCCAAATGTCTGATTCTTTCTACTGACCTTTTCAATTCACAAACACACCTACTCCTGGGGAGTCTAAGGTTGCTCATTAAAAGACCATGTTTTGAGAACCACTGATACCTAGAAACATCCCAAAGCTCTTGGTGTGAACAGGTTAGGTTTCAAGACAATTGTAATGCCATGAACCAGACCTCTCTACCACATTCTCAGAGGACCAGAGTTGACAGAGAGAGGCACACATCTGATTTATGATGGTTTACTTTCTGAAAGAGTTAGATATTCCTTGAACTTTACAGTTTCATAGGATATACATATTCGGGATAAAGAGAAGCAATTGAGTCTGGAGACAGAGAATTCAGGTCCTAGCCACTGCTCAACATTCAATGCACTCTGCCCTCCTAGAAGAATAGCATCATCTTAGGGTAAGGGAGGAAGGCAGCAAGTGCTCATAGATATACTCCATCATGCAGCTTGACAGTGAGCAAGCATGAGACAAACTTTAGTCCATTCATAATCTATGTAATATTCGGGTTTTATATTCACATTTTCAATAAAAATACCATAAGAAAATTTGAAAATCAAGCACACTTTATAGCAATGGAAAATAGCAGCACAAAACCAGTTAAAAGCAAAGAATTTTTCTATGAAGTTTTACAAAGTTGATCAGCGCAATTAGTTAGTACTGCTCACTTTGGTAAAAGGTAGCTAAAATCTAACCAATACTTACCTCCTTTATAAAACAACTTTCTTTCCTTACTTCCCTTTCCCATGAGCCCCAAATGTCACAAAGCTTTGATCTTACACTGCAGTTTTTAACTGTATGTTTTTTTAAAAAAAAGTATCTAAAGTATTCCTACCATCTTTCACCAATGGGATTTCCTCTTAAAATAATAGAAGACTTGCATGCTGACTGTAGTGGATTCCACTTCCTTAATCCAGGTCAGGATTTATGGAGACCTCGTGTGGTGACAAGAGGCACCACAGAGGGCATTCTTGAGGCTGGCTGCAACAATCAAAGGGCAACTCAGAACTCATTTTTTTTTATTATTGATTTTTATTGAGCTCTAATTTTTTCTCAGCTCCCCTCTCTGCCTCTCCTTTCCCCTTCAATCATCTTCCAAGGTCCCCAATGCTCCCAATTTACTCAGGCGATCTTGTCTTTTTCTACTTCCCATGTAGATTAGATCTATGTATGTCTCTTTTAGAGTCCTCATTGGTGTCTAGGTTCTCTGGGATTGTGATTTGTGCGCTGGTTTACTTGGGGAGCAACAAAACCTAGGAAGAATGAAGCCTTGAAAGTGAATGTTAGGGATACATGTAAGGCATTAGCAAGCATCCTGAAGTGGTACTGTTAAAAGCAGGTAGGAATGTTTTTAAAAATGAGACACTTTTTCATTTGTGTTTGTTTCTTAGCTGAAAGCAGCTGATAGACAAAGAAATTCACTAGCCCCAAGCATTAAGAATTGCTTACAACCCATTTTCTTGATGACACTCATTGACATTATCTTCTTAAATAAATTTCATTTAATTGAAATGATTCCTTAGGCACATTTCAGTGTGAATAGTATTCAACCTGCTGTAGGTTTTATGCAGAATGAAAAAACAATCCGGGGGTGGGGGAGAATCAAACGTGAATTCATATTATTACATCTAATTCCAGTGATAATATTTTGAATGTGGATAATATTCTTGAAATTAAAATACACATAGAAAGATGAATCACGTATGGTGGATAAATTCACACAAAGTTTCTCTTACTATCAATGAAGTGTCAGAGTTGTGACAGCAAATGATTTAGTGTACCTGAAAACATGCCTCAATCACATAATTTATTATCATAAAAAAATTCACTGGTGGTGGGATTCTTTCAGGGACAATTAGTTTTGCAAGTGACATGTGTTCTATGTCTCAAGTCGTAAGGAAATATGACTATGGCATCTCCTTTCTCCTCAAGTAAGTTATGTAACAGACCTTTAAGCTAAAATCTAGAAGGACAAATGAATGCCTGGGTGGCAAATGTTCTGAAGCCTTTAAAAGAATGGTGCCCTACAACCACATGACAGCCAGATGAATAATCCCAAGAATTCCATCCAGTTTATGAGGGGACACCCTGCCTTTGTAAGGAGCCTCCGAAGGGTTTTTGGATCTGAGTTACAGGCAAAATGACCCGGAAAAGATATCCTGAAAAATTGAAAAAAGGCAAAAGTAAAGATGTTGGAAGATTTCAGGTTTCATAGTCTTGAGTGAAACACTGCTCAGGGAACCTTCTAAGTGAGAGGTAAATGTTAAATATCAAATCTGCTAAAGTGAACTGGAGAGACTTGGGGTGGGGGTCAAGGGGTAGCGCATATTACACAAACTATGCTACAAAACTGACTTTATGGGAGGGGCTTTCTGCTCAAAGACTTCCAAAGTGGACCCTGACTAGAAAGAAGATGAGGAATTTAAGATGAAGTGAAGAAGCTGACTCATTTAGATGTTATTTCAAACCTATAGAGGCTTTCGGTTTCTGCTGAGAGAGCGGGAGGTTGTGACTATTGCCAGACATTACACTGAGGAGGCAAGAAGAAACCAGGAAATCCACTTTCCAAAAGTGCCAGGGTGGGGGTGGGGGAGGTGTCCAGAGAGGCCCTGGAAACAAGAGAAACCTTCCAGCATAATGGGTGTTGCTACGATTATTTCCCCTTTCTGTTGCCACAGGGACTCATTCAAACCCTTGGAGTTGTGTGAGTTGGTAGCATTGCATAAACAAGCAACCCGCTGGCCTGGTGTTTTCCAGTGACTATAAAGAAAGGGTTAATTGAAGAGGGTGGCTTTAGGAAGGCTTGCAAGAAGGGTGGAAAACATTATTTCAAACTTGCTAAAACTCTGAATTTTTAAGCTTCCCAAAATCCACGTGTGTGTGTGTGTGTGTGTGTGTGTGTGTGTGTGTGTGTGAGAGAGAGAGAGAGAGAGAGAGAGAGAGAGATCCGCAAAGGCAGATCTATTTCAGTAGGATTTTTTTTTTGTTTTAATTTAAAATCATAATCTCGCTGTTTCTCTCTCACAGCAGCGTTGCAAACCCAGAGCGAGGATCGCGCCTCAAAAGGCTGCGGCAGAGGCGCTGCCGGCTCCATTTATTTATGAGCAGCGTTCAAAGTCGCCCCTCTCCCCAGTCTCTTTCTGGGAACCTCGGTCTCGGATCTCGGGTCACCTCAAGAGCCAAGGAGTTGCGGGGTGAGGACCCGAGAGCCTCCTTCTAGTGGCAAACTTTGCCCAGGCGTAGGAGTCTCGGCTCGCTGGAGCAGGGGCGCACGGGAACGCGCCCCCCCCCCCCCCCCCGGGCGATAGCAGCCAGGGCCTCACCTCTGCCGGGCGAGCGAGGTGCGGGCTTTCAGCGCGCGTCCAGGGGGCGGGGCGGGGCTCGTGGGGGCGGAGCCAAGGGTGGGTGCTTCCCGCTGCTATATAAAGCCCAGCCACCGCGTTAACTTCGGACTTGGGTTTATTTATTTGTGGAGCGCCTGGACGGCGGGGGTTGGAGGAGGCGGCGGCTGTGGCTGCTGCAGACGGTGGTTAAAAAAAGGAGGAGGAGGCGGCGGCGGCGAGGGATGGGAGCGCCCAGGCTTCGGGGCGCAGGCCAGAGCTGCCGAGCTTTCCTGGGGCTGCGGGAGTACTGAGGAGAAAGGGGAACGTCCCGGGGGCCCACAGGCGACTCCAGAGGCGCGGGCTGGGGTCTTTTTGTTCGGCTGCGCTCAGCGCCCAGCAGCCAGAGCGGACAACTCCAGTTACAACAACAACCCACCTTCCAGCAGCCCGGCGAGACTTAGGCAGCCGCGTCCGTCCTATTGTTTAGACACTTGCCTGGGGCTCCCGAGCGCCAGTCCCCTGCTCTCTGTCTCCGCCTTCTCTCCCCCCCACCCCACCTTCCTCCCGGGAACCGCCGGCGCCGAAAGCCTCCCCGAGAGGGGAAGGGGCTAGAAGCTAAGCGCTGCCTGGACTGCCGTCGCCGAGTCAGGTGCAGCGTCCGTGGCTAAACGGCGTCTCCACGTTCGCCACTGGACTCCTACCGTGACAGTGGGAGACCGGATCCAACGCCTGGGGAAACTTCCTGCACTTTGAGGTTGAGGACCCACTTGCAGGAGCTGCCTGAGGGGTGGCTGAGAGGCCGTGCACCTCGGGACATCGCTGTTGTTTCTTCTACCTGCGCCGTCAGGTGTGTGCGGCAGAGCTGCGGCGAATACTGGAGACCAGAGCGGCTGACAAGAGCGCGGACACCAGACTGCCAGTCGGCTGTCGACTGTGATCTACCTGGGTAGCAGATCTCATTCTCCCGCCTATCACTTAGTATACCCATCAGGGCATACTAGCAGCACTGGCATCGCGGACACCTAGCCTTTGCTTTGCTTCTCCTGGCTTGCCTGGCTCCAAGTCTTGCCCCAGCCAGTTCCCACTCAATCTTCCTAGGAGCTCTTGCTTTCCTAACTAAACTTGGCTTCCTGGATTTCTGCAGAGGTGCGGACTAGTGGATTTTTCTTCAAGGCTGCAGCGGTCCGAGTGCCCTTTTGTCTCTCCGTGTGACCTCAGGGGCAGGCCCTGGTGCAGAGCGTCGCCAAGGACGCCGGGAGGGAGGCGGGATTGCCCAGATATCCTCCAGTGAAGTGCATGTGTGTGTGCAAGACATCCTTGGCTGTCGAGAGGCGGCGAAGACGGGTTGGGGCTGCTGCTGTGCTGCAGGAGTGGAAAGGCCCTGTGAGCTGAGCCCCGCAGCGCCGCCCGGCGCCCCCAGGGCTGCTTGAACACCCGGTGCGCCCCCGCGTGCGCCATGCCCAGTCTTTCCGAGGGCTCTGCTCTGGACCTACCAGGGTCTTTCACCTTTTAGCTTGGGGAAACCCACTTTGATCAGGGCCACCATTACTATCGAAGTCCCCTCCTCAGCCTTGCACTCTGCCAACTGGAATCGGATTTTCTAGAGGGTCCTTGGGGTCAGAAGTCCTCGCTCATCCTCAGGCAACCGATCCCTGCATCTTTGCGGTCGTTTTGAGTAGGAGCTCTTTTACCGCCAAGTTGAAGACGCGCTCTGTCCTCACAGCTGCATCGGGGTCCCCTCGTTGCCTAACCCGGGCCTATTGATATTCAGGACCTGAAGTTGCCCACCGATCTTCTGCTTCGCTCAAAAAGCGTGGAGAGTCAGGGAAAGGCGTGTGCTTCTGCCAGTTCTACTGCTTTATATTACTGTTCCATATTACTGCCTGTGCCCAGCGCCAGGCATCCGAGCCTTGGACACTGCCCAGTTCTCACTCAATAGAGAGCTAAAGAGAAGTCCCTCAAAGCAAGGAGCCTGTTGGGGAAGATGAGCAGCATTGGCTGGCAAACACTGTCCCTGTCGCTGGGGTTAGTGTTGTCGATTTTGAACAAGGTGGCGCCGCAGGCGTGCCCGGCCCAGTGCTCCTGTTCAGGCAGCACGGTGGACTGTCATGGGCTGGCACTACGCAGCGTGCCCAGGAATATCCCCCGCAACACCGAGAGACTGTGAGTATGGGCGTTTCGCCCTCCCCATTCTCTCTTCCTTCCCATCGAGGTAGAATATCCCCTAGCATCCAGCCTGAAAAGTCCGCGTGTGGTAGAAACCGGTTCTGGGGGCAGCTCTCAGAGGCTCTCCAGCACGCACATCCCCGGGGGTGGGCCCTCCGAAAAGGTAAAAGACTGGCGGGCACTAAACTGGGAGGAGCCTTTGCCAAGGAGGGGCGGATCATTGGCAGCTGCGTGTCTTTTTCCTGCTCCCCCGCCCCCCCCCCCCCCCCCCCCCCCCCCCC